GGATGGATTGCTTTCATTAGACATTGAATTGGCCGAATTGGCACAATTACTACAATATTTCTCATTATAAAGTAAATGGTTTTAACCCGGGAGTACCGTTACATGTTTGTAGATGTAGATCGTCTGGGTTAGTATAGTCCTAAAAAGGACTGTTTTTGCTGTTGCTGACTGACGTTTCGACAACCTTCGCGATAGTCATCTTCAGAGAAAAATAAGGAGTAAACATCAGGTTAGCCGTATTTATTATCTGGTTCTTACGTCATTGTATTGTATGTACAGGAAATGTTTGGGTGTCAATTGTGTATTGTCATTGTGAATTAGTGTGAAGTGTAAAGTTCTTTGTTCAAGGTGACGGTAATTGCTGTGATCTGCTCTGGGGTTTCTAAGTTGGTATACCAACTTTCTAGTTAAAACTGCTCTCTATACTCAGTGCTGTAAGTAACGCATTTTGACAAGTCCCAGTCAATGTTGTGCTTTGTGAGTCGGTAATGTTCGGCAATGTGATTAGTTTCGTCTTGTTTTTTTTTTTGTAGCTCGTCTGTGTTCAGTAAAACTTTTTATTTAGTAAACTGCACCTTGTCATTCTTTGGATAGTTCTTTGTCTTTTATTTTCGTTAGTATATTATAACGTTGTGATTGGTTTATGTGCGAGACGTATTTTGTATGGTCGTAAGTTACGCGAGATAGTCTCAGACGTACATTTGATGCAAGGTGTCATTGCTGTTGTCGCTGAGATGTTCGTTTCGTCGGGCTCGTTGTGTTTGTAGTTGTTGCTTTTGATGAAGTTGGAGATATAGTTGTTTTTGTCAAAAACACATTTGAGATAGTTGTTTTCGTTGTGTAGAGCGTCGGGTGAATCACATATGTTTTGTGCACGTCTTGTGAATGTTCTGATTTTGGTGGTTTTGTGTGGTGTAATGTTGTAAGATGATCGGACTAGTAGTTGTTCAGTGTGTGTTGGTTTGCGACAGACTGTCGTTCTAGTCTTTGACTTTCCTGTTTTAGCAGACAGTCAAGAAAAGGAAGAGATCAGTTTTTTTCGTTTTTTTACGTCTTTATCTTTCGTTGATTATGTTTAGCTGTTCTGTTCGTTGATTTGAGAGTGAAAGTAATCAATCTCGTCTGCATGTAGTGCTGTGATCATCTCATCTACGTAACGGAACCTAAAAGGTAATGCCTGTTGGTAAGTCGTGAGCGCCCATTCCTTTATAGATTGCATTACATTTTCAGCAAGTACATCATTTCAGTTGAGCCCATTGCTGATTCATGTAATTGTTTGTAGTGTGTACTATTGTACTGGTAGTAAGTTGAGGTGAGGCAGAGCTCAAATAGCTCGATAATGTCTTCTGTTGGTAATGGCTGTACTTCCGTGGTATTTCAAATGAGGGTTTTTATACAAGTAGGTGCCAGATATAGTGGAACCCTGGTAAACAGTGATTTCACAACAAACGACATTAGTATGTATTTGTCCGGCATTTGTATAGTGCTCAGTTTTTAATGAAAGTTTCAGTGGTTTGCAGCTTGTGTTTTTACCTCGTAAGTATTTGCAATACGTCAGTCAAGTACTTTGACAGTTCGTAAGTAGGCAAACCACAGAATGATGCAATAGATCGCATGGGTATTTGTTGTTTGTGATGTTTTGGTAGTCCCTAAAGTCTCGGTGATCGTGGTACTGAACATATTAGTCGATACTATATACGTTGAGATATAATTATAGTTTTTCTCTTATAGAAAATCTTGATGTCAAAGAGAAAATCTTGCGTACTAGTGATGGTGTTGGGTCTCGTTTGAGTTGCTTGTACGTTTGTCTGTCGTCAACAAGGGTATCCCTTTTTTGGAAGTAATCATTCCTATCTATGACCACAGTCACGTGTCCTTTGTCTGCTGGTAAAATGACGATGTTTTTGTCGTGTTTTAGTCGTTTAAGTGCGTGTTGCTCGTCCTTTGTGAAGTTGTTGTCACGTTTAGATTACGATTGTAAACAGGAGGCTACTCTGCTTCTGATCTCGTCTTTGGTTGTCTCTGACAAGTCTCTTTGATACGCCAGGACACCCTCGACACCGGATACTATTGTCTCAGTCGGGATTCGTTCCGGTGTTATGGAGTGTTTTAGTCGGTAAGACAGTAGTCGTGTTTCAGTTTCGTCTAATGACCAGGAAGAAATATTCCTCACCAAGTTATCGTCATGTTTATGTCTTGTACGTGTTTTAGTGCGTTTTAAACAATAAAGTTTTTGTTGTTGTTTGATTTAGTGTTGTGTCTCTGTCTTGTTTGCTCGTTTCTCTGCAATATTTTGTATCGTAGAAAGTAAAGTATCACTTACTGTCGTTGGTATGAGCTCCTTCAATTTGTTCAATCTTTGCTCTTGTTGCTCGATGTAATAGTTGATTCGTGTGTGAAAGGCGTTAATCCGTGCTCGTATGAGTCATCTGCTGGTCAAAGAAAACGGAAGTCTTCCTTTTCTCGACTGTTGGTAAAACAAGACTGTCAAAAACTACGAACAACAGTTTATCGCAAACAAACTACTACCAATCATCTTACAACCCTACATCACACAAAGCTACCACAATCAGATAATTAACAAGACGTGCACAAATCATATGTGATTCACCCTACGCTCTACACAACAAAAACAACTATCTCATACGTGTTTTTGACAAAATCAACTATAACTCTGACTTTATCAAACGCAACACTTACAAACCCCACGAGCCCGACTAAACGAACAACTCAGCGACAACAGTAACGATAGCTTACATCAAAGGTACGTATAAGACTATCTCGCGTATCTTGCGACCATACAACATACGTGTCGCAAATAAACCAATCACAACGTTACGACAAGTACTAACGAACATAAAGGACAAAGAACAACCCAAAGAACGACAAGGTGCAGTTTACAAAATAAACTGCTCCGACTGCCACGCCTCCTATATCGTAGAGAATGGCAGGAACTCAAACATAAGACTTACTGAACACAAACGAGCTACTAAGAAACAGGACAAAAGTAATCACATTGCCGAACATCACAGAATCAAAAAGCACAACATTGACTGGGAATCGTCAAAATGCATTACTTACAGTACTAACTATAGGCAACGGTTCACATTAGAAAGTTGGTATACCAACTTAGAAACCCCCTCCCCTGAGCAGATCACAGCAATTAACGGCACTTTACAAGCGACTTATTCACAATACAAACAAACGATCAACTAAAAACATTACACTTCACACTAATTCACAATGACAATACACAATTGACACCCAATCATTTCCTGTACACACATTACAATGACGTAAAGACCAGATAAAAAATACGGCTAACCTTAACTTTACTGCTCATTTTACTCTGATGATGACTACCACTAAGGTTGTCAAAACGTCAGTCAACTAGAACGAAAACAGTCCTTCTCTGGATTATACTAACCTGGACAGTCTACGTTTAGAAACATATAACTTCTCATTATGCCGGTTTTTCTATCAACATGGCAGCCCCTGAAAAGACTCTATTGATCACTTTGTCTCAAAATTTTCCAAATTGCATTATGCATCGATTACTGAAATTTTACACTTTTTATAACTTAAAGAAAATGAAATTTACGTATTTGTAATTTACTTCCTTAAATCATTTTAATTAGTATTTTATGCTAAATCAATGATCAAAGATTTATTTGATAATGAAGGATTTTACTCATGCCAACCTTCAATTCAATAAAACACGAGAACGGGTGCAATTACTTCTTCTGAAAATTATTGTGATCTATATTTATGGAACTCCCTCTCATTCTATAGTCAACAGAAGTAATTAGAAAATATATGTATGCGCTTACTGAGGAAACAATTATAAGTTCAGAAATTACACATTCTTGTCTAAGGGTGTATACATTACCTTCGCCTACACTCACAATAAATTCATTATAACATGATTCTTTTCATTTTCCATTAAAGCTGTTAGTTCGAAGAAAATAATGAAGAACACATTTACAAAATGATTGCTTTAAAATTGTTAAGTTATTCATATAGCCACACAACTTTTCTAGTCTTAAAGATATAATTTTTTACCTCATGATGAAAATGAAAGCTCTTGATATGCCCACTGATGTTGTTGAAAGAGTTTGTGACTTAGATCTTTCTATTTCCCCCATTCAAAACACAGATATCTCTTTTCAAGGTTAAACTTTTAAACATTTCTTTACATATAATAGCGGCTTGTGCCATGGGCTTGACTTGGTGACACGTTAAATTGTGAGGTTGATCTGCCTCCAGAATTAAGATTTATTTCATGCACACCAGTCTATTTTTCACAACATGTTTATTACCTAAATGTTTGACTCATCAAAGCCCTTTCTGCAATTGTATTTTATGCTTGGTGTAGGGAAATAATTATCAGCTGTACACTTGTAGCCTTAAATATTTTATTTATTATTCAAGCATGTTTTTATGGTGTTCACACAGTCATTATTAACTATTTGAAAATTAAAAGTTAAGAACTAAGCGCAAAGTTGTACTTTTGAATAAAAAAATAGTTTTATTGGTATTCTTTCGCTAGATTGTTTCAGTTGATCGTACCGCCTGTAACAATTTCAAGGATGCTCTTTTTAATTTCTCTTTCGATGATATTTTTTAAAATAATCTTGATTGTTGTTGGGGGGTCATCTATATTGTTATATATGTATGTCTTAATTAATTAGTTTACATTGAAATCAATTTTTACAAAGGATTACTACTTGTTTCAGCCTATAATATGAAAGTATAATTCATCCCCATTATATATATAATCCACAGATAATTTGGTAGCAAACGAAAAACATGTTTTAGGTTAATTAGGAAACGCATATTGAAATAACATTGTTTATTTTCCTGTTTATTGCAGGATTTCTCACTTTATGAGAAAAGTTGAAGTAAAAGTAAAGGCTAAAATTTTAAGCAAAAGGTATGGAATTAAGTGGTAATTACAGCCACCTTGTTATGAACAAAAGCTTTATAGTCGCAAAGCTTACCTAATATAAACCAGTTGCTTGGTGGGTCCCGCAGCCCATCACAAAGACTGTATTCAAGATAAGCCTGAACAGTATAAGTTCCAGCTTCCATAAGAAGTGCAATTGCTTCATAAGTGCCATTTTCGTGATCAAAAACTGTTGCTGCGACATTAGACGGTCCAATAAAATACACTATCCAATTGTCACCTCCAATTGTCTTTAGGTCTCCATTTGCATTTCGACTTTCTATGAAAATTCGTGAAAACTGTCCAGAAGGTCGAATGTCCATATAACCAATTGAACTATTTTTTCCAGAGCTTCGATTAAATTCACCCCAACCAGATTTGTGCGTGCCCCATATTAACTGGTCCTTGCATGGTTTTAAAATGCTCTGCCAGTCTGTGCGAGCTTTGTGTATCCGTGACCATTGATTGGAGAAATCAAGTGAACAGTTTGTGTTTTCTTCTCCACGGAACGCTCGAGAAAAAAATTCATGTAGAGATGTTCTTGGATCACCAATAAATTCCAACTTGAAATGCAGAAAGCCATAAACTAGCACGAAAATCAGGACGATAAAACACAAACAAAGTAAATTCCACTTTGATGCCAATGACATTATGCTAAAAAAAGATGCTTTTTTACACTCTCATAGAAACGCTCGAACAATTCATATATTATGTTAAATTGGCATGAATATAGATCTAAAAAATTTCTAAAACTTTTAAATGATCAAAAGTGCTGTTGTTGAATTACTTCTACATAAAATACCAAACGGAGATGCTAGAGGTCATATGCTTTTCATGTTTGGCATTACCAAAAAATTTTTGAAAGCTTCAGTATTTTTTTAATTTTGAAGTTTGATGTTTTGCAATTTTTATGGAGTTTATCAAAGAAATTTAAAGCGATGCCTATGCCTTTTTTATTCATATTCAACAACTTAAGTCAATGATTATCAGCTTGTAATAGAGTTTTACAAGCTCTTCATTTTTTAGTATAACAGCAATCAGCAGATGTATTTCAGATACAGAAATTTTAAATCATTTTGGAATGTTTAAGAATTTTAAAGTACTCTCTTTTTGGAGAAGCAGTTCGATTACACAATGCTTTATTAAGATAATTTTTAATGGGCCATTCACATACTTATAAAGAGCAACCCTTTAAGACCAACTAGCATTTCTGCCCGAACTAAATGCATATCGAAGGAAAGTTGGAATAAGTTATAAAATACCACAAATCCAATTACTGAAAAAATCACAAAGAAATTGTTCAAGCGAGACACAAAATATCACAAAATACGAGCTACACGACAAATTAAAATTGATGGTATCTGGTGCAATAAAACGAGTCTTTATTGAGTAAGTGCTTCAGTAAGCGCATGGATAAAGTCTCTTGTTTCTTTAGTGTCGTACAACGTAAACATGTTATTTAAATTTATATGGGCTAACATCTTTTGATCTCAGTTGTCGCTGGCAATTTGAAGAAAGAAAAACAAACAGGAAACAAAATTTAGTAAATCTTTCACCTTTCAAAATGACCATACTGGTCACAACCACTAGACTCCGTAAATTGCATTGATGTTTAATGTTCATAGTAGTTAGGAGCTCCGAAATTCTACAGATATTGTTTTAAATGATACGCTTATTAAGTTGAGAAATGAAAAACATTATTTAGGAGTTTAACCTGAAATGATTTCCTTGCAATAGGCATAGTTAACTTTTATTAAGAAAAAAATAAAAAAGTATTCATAAGTGAATTTATGCGTGCAAAGCGCTATTTCGATTTCCTTGAACTGATTGGCTGCAAGGCAGCTTTTAAGTAATCTTTACGGCGGTGTAAAAGTGATATTTTCTTTGCAATGTATTTTCTTACAAAGCTAAACTTTAAATTTATTTAAAAGGGGAGTAATTCGCTAAGCATGAAAGCAAAGTGAATTCAGATGGTAGCTATCATAGCAAGATTACTTTTATATTCAGATAAAGTGAATTTTGCCTCTACTCTAGGATCTGTATACGATTTTTTGTGCATCTCTTTTACCGGAAGTTATCTCAACTGTTTTTGTGTAAAATGAGAATGACGAACAACATGGCATATGTGCCATTCGCTCAATCCGGGACGAAAATCATGAAATTGAGACTCCCCCTGAAATGGCAGTGTCGATATAGCTCTAACTTCCAGATTAGAAGATTCAATTTTAGGGGTGGTCTTGGGAGGAAAAATTTACAAAAGTTTAATATTTACTGAGAAAATTACCATACACGAGCATTAGCCAAATGCCAATTTTGCATAAATTGAGAAATATTCTTGGCAGAGATTGAATTTTCATATTTTAAAAGAAAAAATCATATACGATGAAAAACCACACCATACTCACTCTAATTATTCGTTATTTCAAGCATTTGACATTGTTTTTGCTGGCATACGATAGAATATATTTCGCATGCCTTCCTCCTTAACCCGCTTTTAGCCATATTTTTCCGTCTTGTGTGCTTTTTATCGCCGAATCTTAAAAGTATTCGGCATATTTTGTACATTTTCTTGATTACTGATTGCAAAATAAGATCTTAAACCCAGTTTTGTCAAGTTTGGATGCAGTGCAGTGTCTTTTATCTTAGATATTTCGTACATGGACACCCTGTTAATATTGCGCCATTGCGAAGTGCCGTCAAAAGCGCTCAATAAACCCCGCTTCATAAACGTCATAAAGATCTTGTCTGCACTATCGTAACAAAATATATTGCATTTTGCTCAAAACACAGCTCTAAAAAAACACGTAGATCTTGCGTGAGCTTGGTGAGATTCTGTCACATTTTTCTTCACGGGGGACGATGTCTTTTTCACAGATGTATTCCTCTTGTGTGATACAAATGGATTTTGTTTTTTAATTGCATATTTGCGTAGGATTGAGTTGTCTATAAAAAGGTAGTACATAGTTCACTCGTAGGGTAAAGTAGAAGGAAAATGTTTCATATTGTTTATTTACGAAAACTTGAATCAATGCAAAAACATTACCCCCGTCAAAAGACATGCGACAAAATTTCACAAAGTTTGCTCATGATCTACATGTTAATTCGTAGAGCTGTGTTTTGAATTTAGATCCTAAATGTTCTACGGGAAGTTTTTCCATTACGAATAAGCCTATCTTTTCATGTTTTCAATTGTTGCTAAAATTAAATGTATTTTGTTACGATACTGCAATCAAGATACTTATGAAGTCTATGAAGCGGGATTTATTCAGCAGAAAAGCGACGGCACTTCGCAATGGCACCGATACGAACAGAATGTCCAAAACATGTGATGATACTCCAGTGTTCAAACCATTTACTTTCTTCCTGAATACGTTGGAGTAGTAGTTCATTTGAAGTCCTTTGATGTGCAACATAATTGAACGTGGCACAAAACACTTTTGCTTATATTATTGTTCGTCCTCTGTCGATGTTCTTTTTCTTGTTTCTTAAAGGAAAGCCTTTTCAGGATTATTTCATGACGTACATTTTCTTTTTTAGCGCCATTTTGCTTCGAATGAGCTTCCTTTTTCCAGTCTTCGAATCTGTTATTATGGCTAATAACCACGACAAGCAGACAATATGAAGTAATACAAAATAAAACAAATTCCAAAAAGGGACATCTCGTTTTCTTGATATTCAAGATAATACAAGAGTAGCCATATTGATAGCAAATGTATTCGTATACTCAAGAAACTCAATAGTGATTACGCCATTCTGAAAGCTGACAAAGGCAATGGAGTTGTCTTGTTAAACCGATCTGATAATGTCAACTCTCTTAATTCGCTGTTCGATAATCCCTGTAAATTTAGGCGTATTTCAAGCGACCTTACTTCTAGTAGACTCTCAACTCTACAGTCCTATCTATGCACACTTCTAAAACGGGGTGAGATCAATGAAACTGAACATACTTTCTTACGACCTACTCACGCGCACTTTGCCAGAGCACATGGACTACCTAAAACGCACAAACAATTTGCACAATACCTAAGTTACGACCAATAATTGACATCACAAACAGACCACACTACAACGTAAGCAAATTCATTGCAAACCTTTTGAATTCACTCAACTTAAATAAATTTTCATTACAAGAATCCTTCGATGCTGCTGATGTTATTAAATCTATACCTAAAGATCTATTTTCCCAAGGTTATAAGTTTGTCTCTTTTCTTGTTGAATTTCTTTACGTGCCTTTGCGTAAAACCATCAACATTGTACTAGATCGCAATTACAAACAAAATATTATTAATACCACACTCCGAAGATCAACACTGAAAAAACTTATTATTGATTTATGCACCAAAACTATATTTTCTTGCAACGGTATTCTTTATGAACAACTTGATGGCGTTTCCATGGGGTCTTATCTCGGTCCCATATTAGCTAATATAATTCTCACTGAGTTTGAAAATATCATTGTCGCTGATTTGATCGACTCAGGTGTCCTTAAGTTTATTGACGTTATGTTGATGATACTCTTGTTCTTATGTGACATTCTGACGTTCCTCATGTTCTTTCCAAATTTAATAATTTTGATAAAAATCTTAAACTTACTTTTGATGAATTTTCTTACTCACATGTCCACTCAATAGACCTTGAAATAACCAATAATGATATTGATATATCCCGTATAACATCTCATACTGGCCAATATACACATTTTTCAAGTTTCGAACCTTTCAACCGCAAATCTACTTGGAACAATTCCCTATTTTTTCGCGCATTTAAGATTTGCTTTAAACAAACATTATTCGAAAACAAATTCAAACACACAAGTCTTTTATGCCATGGAATGGTTTCCCTCTTACAATCCTGAAATTCTTGATTCATAAACTCAAAACCAAAATCATAGCTAAAAATAAGCCCCCAAACAAAATACTGAGAATGAACTTCGTAAAATTTTCATTAGAATACCATATCTAGGCAAACAGGTGAACGTTTGGTTTTCAATCTTCCTCGTAAAATTTGCCATAGCTTAAAAATTCCCATCAAACCTATAGTTATATATGAAACAAAAAGGACATCGATTTTCTGTCCCAAAAAGGACAAAATTGTCTAAAGGTAATGTTGTATATGAATTTAAATGTCCAGGTTGTGGTCATACATACATAGGCAAAATTGAACGAAACATACACACAAGACTAACCCAACATGCCACTAATTACAATAATTCTAGTGCTATCTCACAACATTTACTCATTTGTCCAGATGCCAACTACATCTCACACCTTTTCTCACTTCCTGACGTTGACCCGACCCGATCTCACACGCGTGCCACTTAATCCTTGATTCCAAGTAACACCAAAATGTTATATCACTGTAATAATAATAATCCCTCATTATCTTGGGGAAATAGATGGTAAACATATCATGGTCGAATGTCCCAAGGATGCAGGTTTTGCTTGATTTACTTATAAAAATTTCCACTGCATTCAGCTTCTTGCAATTTGTAATGCAAACTATCGTTTTACTCTTGTTAACATTGGTGATTATGGAAGCACCAATGATGCAAATATTCTGGCAAATTCAGGTTTTGGACAGATATTTGATGAAGGTTCAGAAACACTGAGGATACCGACACCTTTCAGTTACAAAAATTTGCAGAAACTGACACT